ACCATAGATAGATGGGTTGATCTCTGGATTCTCAATTCGATTCCATTGATCTATGTGTCTGTCATTGTACCAGTACCATGCTGTCTTTACCACTATGGCAGTGTAGTAGGATGGAGGCAAAGATTTTGACACTCTGTTTCATATACTTTGAGTACATTGCCAGGAGGGACCAGTTCTTGGAGAAGGATATCATGCTTGGAAGGGTAGAAGGACAGTGCAGGAGAGGAAGACCCCAGGTGAGATGGATTGACACAGTAACTGGGGTTATGGGAGTAGCTGTGTCAGAGGTGGTGAGATTGGTTCAGGACAGGGCAGGAGTTGACTTGACAGCACGTACAACAATAAATACATGGTATTTATTTTATGACATAACATTTTTTTAGTATATTTTATTGTCTAACATATGTTTTTCCCCCTTTACTTCTAGATTTGGTTCCTTCAATTATGAACAACTTACTGAATCCAGACGCCATTTTCTCTAACAATGAGATGAGCCTGTCAGATATAGAAATCTATGGCTTTGATTATGATTACACGTTGGTCTTTTATTCCAAGCACCTCCACACACTGATATTTAATGCTGCTCGAGACCTGCTCATCAACGAACACCGGGTAAGATCGGGTCCATTAGGGCCTCCACCTTTTTGTGTTTTTCGGGAGCTCTGGTGGCTTGATGGATAAAGGATTGCACTGCCAAGCCAAAGGCAGATGGTTTGAATCTACCACCGGCTCCAAGGAAGAAAGATGGACAGTGTGATTTGTTCTGTGTGACTTATGACCTCTGAAAACCCGCTGGAGGGTCACCTGTGAGTTGGTTCTGACTTGATTGTTGAGTTGCGTTGACCCTTTGTGTTCAGACATTTGAGGAACAGCTTTGAACCGAGGACCTCATGCTTAGTGTGTAGAAGTCATATAGGAAATCATTGTTGAATGATGGAGTAGATTTCTTTTGTTCTGCATGATGTCTGTAAGGTCGTTGGTTTTTTGTGAAACCTTCAGCCATCTCTGTGGTAGAGCCCGTCCTGAGCTGGTCATTAAGAAGTCTCATCAGGAGACGTTTGTGTTCTCATCGTGTACAGCATGGTGACAGTTCCCCCCTGGGCCGATGAAGCCGAGGGCTGGGGAGAAGGCATTCCCCAGATGTAGTGCTTCACCCTCAGCACTGATTGGATTTGCTTTAGGAGGTAAAGGGTATTTTGAATGCTGGGATGCACTATATTCTTGAAACCTTAAAATGAGGAAGGAGACAAACACTCACTACTTAGCATTCTTTTCTGCAGTCTTTTGGAGACGCATTTCGGGAATCAGGACAGGTGTCCCCACTGGTCATGTGGATCCGTAAATCTCTCCAGAGTATCTTAGAATTGAGGCGTAAATCTTTATCTTGGGCCAGAGTACAGCAGAGATAAATGTTTATCTCACGCCAGTTGCACCTCCTCAGGGGACAGATAGTTCTGACGGTAGAGAAGTTTTCCCTGAGTTGAGCAGCTTTGATCACTGATCTGTTTTAGTCCTTTCTCTCCTTTCCCCTCCCTCTGCCTGCCTTAAGTGCCTCTCCTGTGCTAAGCCATGTGGTGAAAGCCAGAGAAGGAGGAATAGGGCATAGTTACTGTCCTTGGAGAAACAGCTCTCTAATAAGGAAGGGATCAGCCTTGTGGGCAGATAAATGATGATGCTACCTGGTGCTGCCTTCGTTAGAGGTCTCAGCAGAGAGCTAGGGATGCATACAAGTAGTTGGAAAATCTGACTCCTTCTGAGGGAATTTGGGACATGATAAAATAGGTGATGTTTCAACTAAGTCTTGCAGGAATTTTCCGGCAACGGTAGACTTGGGGTGGGACGGTGGGTGGGACTAAATCATGAGAAAGGATCATTTAATACTTTGACTGTTTGAGTACCCCTTCCATCTTCATCTTCCTCAGTCAACAACGTTGGTAGCAGCAGTCAAGAAATCAAGAGATGTATTGCGTTGAGCAAGTCTGATAGCAATCAGGGACTTCCTCAAAACCCTGGAGAACGTTGATGTCAGTTTGAAGACTCAGGTCTGATCCAGACCATGGTCTTCTCAGCCACCTGCTGTGCATCCGAGTGCTGAACGGTTAGTAAGGATGACAGAAGAAGAATGCATGCCTTTGAGCTGTAGTCCTGGAGAAGAATACTGACTATTCCATGGATTGCCAGAAGAACAGGCAGATAGGCCTTGGAAAAAGTGCAGCCAGAGTGCAGCCCCCTTGGAGACAACGATGGCGAAGCTTCATCTTTCGTACTTTGGACATGTAGCTAGGCGAGGCTTCTCTAAAGGAACATCACACTTGGAAAGATGGAGAGTCAGCAAAGGAGAGAAAGATCCCCCAACAAGATGGATTGACGTGGTGACTGCAGCAGTGGGCTCTGGTGTGTCAGATGATGAGGACGGAACAGGGCAGGGCAGGGTTCAGGACAGCTTTTCATAGGTCTGCTCTGAGTTGTACCCAACTCGATGGCACCTAACAACAACAGTAACAACAGCAACCACCGCATTTGAGTAGCTCAGGTACTTTGGGCCTATTTTCAAGAGGAATCTTTCTTTAGAGACATCATGCTGGGAAAGGTAGGGGGGCGACAAAAGTGAGGAAGACCTTCCGCAGAGGGATTGATGTGAATACCACATGGTGGTGCAGGATGTCTGGTTCAAAGGGTCATTATGAATCCTAGTTGACTTGAGGGCACTTGACAGCAACAGTGTTTGAAAAGCAGATATGCAGTGGGCTGAGTATTATATATACAAGGTTAGTGTGTCCTGTGAGGCTTCTCTTCCCAGGCTGTTCAAGGTTAGTTTGCCCAGCCATTTGCATTTGCCCCTTCTCTCTGTCTTATCCTGGCCGCCCTCCATTGTGTGGGTTCTGGTTTGTCCCTTTCAAACCCAAGACCATGAACTAAAGCTATTACTGCTAGTGGAGTCAGACCAGTATGAAGTCGAGGGAGGCAGCCACCTCCCGGGTTCTGGATGCCATACTTTTATTAACGTGACCAAAGTTTTCATTAGTTTTGAATTCTTTGACCTGGTTTATTTCCTTATCACATCAGCCTGATCCCATTTGTTTTCAGAGGATTTAACAAGCAAGCTTTTATATCCTTTTCCACAACGCAGAAATGGCATTTGGCAAAAATAGCCTTCCTTTCTGCTGTTAGTCCGATAGTCAGTTATGGCACCTTACCAGATGGGACACCGTCTACCACTTGCCACTCAGCTGTGTGTCTCTATTTGTTGCAGACAATGTCTTCTCGCCATCACATCTGTGGCCCTTTCCCTTGACAGCAAGGAGACTGAGAAATAACTGGTTATGTCTTTGCATTCCTGTCTGACAGTCTGCACCTTCTAGTCTCCATCCTGTTGGGAGATTGAATTAGTGTGGCATTCTGTTCCAAGGCTTCCTGACTTTGTTTTCTGTGCGACTTTGATAATCACCTGTACAGTGAAGGTCAGTATATCACAGCACCAAGTACTGATTGTTAGCACAGGTTCACACAGGCCTTCACCTCTTGTTGTTGTTAGGTGCCATCAAGTCGAGCATGACTCATAGCAACCCTATGAACAAAGGATCTGAACCCTGTTCTGTCCTGTGCCATCCTCACACTTCCTGACATACAGAGCCCCTTGTTACAGTCCCTGTGTCAGTCGACCTGGTTGTGGGTCTTCCTCTGCTTCACCAACCCTACACTCTTCCCAGAATCATTTCCCTCTCCAAGAAATAGTCCCTTTTAGCAACAGGTCCACAGTATTTGAGGTGAAACCTCATTATTCTTGCCTCCAAAGAGCTCTCTGCTGCACCCTCTCCAAGACATATCTGTTTGCTCTCTTGGCTGTCCATGGGATGTTCAGTGCTCTTCTCCAACACCACAGCTCAAAGATGTCAATAATTCTTCTGTCATCCCTAATTATTGTTTAGCTCTAAGATGGATAGCAAGTGATCAAAAGACTATGGCCTGAATCAGACACGCCTGAGTCCTCAAAACTGACATCATTATTCCTCAATAATTTGGAAAGGTCTCTAACTGTAGATTTTCCCAGTGAAATGTGTCTTCTTAATTGCACCTCTTACCTCCTTTGCATTATTGAGTTGTTGTTATGTGCCATCAAGTTGCCTGTGACTCATAGCAACCCTATGTATAATATAATAGCTCTGAACCTTGTCCTATCCTGAGCCAGTCTTAAGTGTCTCTGACACACCTACCCTCTTTACCCCAATTACTGTATCAATCCATCTCATCTGGGATCTTCCTCTCCTACACTGACTCCACCCTTCCAAGTATGATGTCCTTCTCCAAGGACTGGTTGCTCCTGGCCACATGTTCAAAGAATGTGAGACATAGCTTCAGAATCCTTGTCTTCAAGGTGCAGCTTGGTTTCTTCCTCTCCAGGACAGACCCGTTTGTTCTCTTGGCAATCCAGGCAATCCATGGTATATTCTGTACCTTTCTCCAGTAACACAACTCAGAGGCATCGATTATTCTTTCATCTTTAATCATTGTCCCGTTCTCTGATACATAGCTAGTAATTGCGAAGACCCTGGCCTGAATCACGTGTACCTGAGTCTAGACTGAATTGTTGCTCTTTAGCACTTTGGAGACGTCCCTGACAGCAGATCCCCCTAATGCGTTTCATTTTTTGATTTCCTGACTGCTGGTGCCAGGAGTGTTGATAGTGTAGCAGCGTGAGCTGAAATGAACCACCTCAATCTCTTCCATCTATCATGGTGCTACAAATTGACCCAGTGGTGAGAACTTTATCTTTTTGATGTTGAGCTTCAATCTGTATTGAAGACTACAGTCCTTGACCTTCTGCAGCAAGCACTTCAGGTCCTTCTTGGCAAGCAAGATTGTGTCATCTGCGTAACACCAGTTGTTGATAAGTGTTTTCCAGTTCCAATGCCACATTCCTCATAAAGTCTAGCCTCCCAAACGATATGTTTTGCGGACAGATTGAAAAGGTATTGGGACAGAATGCATCCCTGACACACTCCTTTCCTGATTTTGAACCATGCAATGTTTCCTTGCTCTGTTCTGAGGACTGCTTCCTGGTCCAGGTATAGGTTTCGCATGTGTGCAATTGAGTGTTCTGGGATTCCCATTCTTGTCAAAGTTACCCATAATTTGTTGCTCAGCTGATCTCTTTGGCCCTCAGTTTCTTCCTTTTTAAATAGACACAGTGACAGTACTTTCCCCACACTATTATTGTACTCATTAAATAAACTTATATATAATCTAGTACATTGATGCCTTTGAATTGTGGGATTGAGAAGAGTTGTGGATAGCCCATCAACGACCAAAGGAACAAACACGTCTGTCTTGGAAGAACTGCAGCCAGCATTCCTTAGAGACATGGATGGAGAAAGGTCATCTCACATACTTTGGGCATTTTGTCTGGAGAGATCTGTCCTTGGAAAAAAGCTTCTTCCTGGGAAAAGTGGAGAGTCATAGAATGAGCGGAAAACCCTCAACAAGATGGATTGGAACAGTGAGGGTGGCACCAGATACAGCAAGCTTCTGGACTGTTGTTCATAGGGTATGAATGTTAGGCATCTTGATAGCACCTAAGAACAACAGCTGCCTAGTACAGAAAGAATAAACAA